TGATTTGTCGTAGGCCGTGCCACACTCGGCGAGTGTCAGAACTTTCAAGGTGTTGTTCAATTCTCTGGCTGTACATAGCTTTGGCATCCCTAATTTTTGTTAAGTCAGTCCCCGACTCTGTCTAGCCCAAGGTCATCTGGACTGGGCAGAGAGACTTTCTGGAGGTTCCTAGGCTCTAGTTTCTTTCAACACCCCAGCCAGCACTGCCAATGGCCGAGGTGATAGGAGACAGAGGCAAAGAACCTCTGGAGAGCCAAGGGTCCTCATCTAAACAACTGGTAGCTGACAGACAGAGTCACCAGTATTGAGCTAGGTAGATAAATGTCCTGACCTGATAAAGGCAGCAACTCCCCCTGTTCCTATCATGGGTGTTCAGGGGCAGAGCCTGGGCATCGCACACAGAAGGTATCCAACCTCTCAAATTAAAGAAAACCAGGCCACAGAGAACTGTCCAATTGACCTGTAGGTCTCCAGATACTGGGGCACAAATTCTAGAATTCTTCACATTGGCCAGGCTGACTGAGGCTGGACTCAAGTTGGGAACCAAAAGAATAGACGATACAGGCCTAGCCTGGCTTTGCTTGTGAAGTTGGGAGAGGACAGCATCCTCTCCAGAATACACTTTTCCACCAGGGAATGCTGGTGGTGGGTCTGTCCTTTTTACTTGGTCCAGATGGATGCAACAAGAGGCCCCACAGTCACCTATGCTTTCCTTCTAGCCTGTAGTCCTGTGAACAGGGACTTAAGCCTAACATGAAACTTCCTGTGTCATTTCAGGGTAATTATGACTGAGGTAGAGCCAGTGCTGGATTTTGCTTCCTCTGGGCGCACCGGCCGAAGGAACGCCTTGCCCGACATCCTGGGTTCACCAGCTGGGGTCAGTCCAACTGATTTGCCATTGAAATTGGCAGAAATGTCCCTAAATTCAGGTAGATATCATCTTTATTCTCTTGCCAGCAATGGCCATGTCTAACGTAACTCTCCTACTCTTAATGTTCTTTGTTGCTTTGATGGAACATGGTTCAGCTGAAATCCAAGGTAATGAGACTGTTTGCTAGTGATCTGTGAATGGGAGAAGGTAAAGGAGGACAGGAGGGGGTGGAGGAGAGAAAATGTGGAGGACAAACGGACAGGAATAACTTTTGCCCATCTGCATCAACCAAATTTAGTAGGTACATCTGTCCTCAGCATGGACAAGACCTTGTTGTACATGCCGACTATGCATCTAAAAGTTGCCATCAGGACCCACAGTTGATATTATTTCAATTAAAAACCTTCTGGAAAAGGAAGGTTTTGACCAGGCGCTGAAACATCATCAATGTCGGTGCCAGACGAATCTCCCTTGAACAGGAAGGTTTTGACCAGGCGCTGAAACATTATCAATGTTGGTGCCAGACGAATCTCCCTTGGGAGGGCGTTCCATAGTCTGGAGGTAGCTGCCAAAAAGGCCCTTTGTCTACAAGCTGTCCCTCTTACCTCCTTGAGGGACGGCTCTTTCAAAAGGGCCACCTGGCTAGATCTTAATTGCCTCATGGGTTCATATGGAAGGAGGTGGTCATTCAGGTATCCAGGGCCCAAGCCGTTTAGGGCTTTATATGTCAAAACAAGCACTTTGACTTGGGTCCGGGCAGCAACTGGTAGCCAATGTAATTTAAACAGAATTGGCTTGATGTGATCTCTAGCGGTCCCACCACTCACCAGCCACACAGCTCAATTCTGGACCAGCTGCAGTCACCGGACTATCTTCAAAGACAGCCCCACATAGAGTAGTCTGCAATAATCTATACAAGATGTTACCAGTTCATGTGTAACTGTCATGAGACTCTGCTCGTCCAGGTAGGGCTGTAGCTGGTACAATTTCCACAGCTGAAGGAAGGCGCCCCTGGCCACTGAGTCCACCTGGACTTCCAGAGTTAGACTGGGGTCCAGGAGCATCCCCAGGCTGCGGACCCTGTCCCTTAGGGGGAGTGTAACCCCATTCAGGGCAGGGAAATGGCTCTCCAGGCTGTCCGGCGAAGCACCACTAACAGCACTTCCGACTTGTCTGGATTGAGTTTCAATTTATTAACCCTCCTCCAGTTCATTATCTGGTTCAGACACGAGTTCAGCACAGAAACCGCCTCACCTGGATTGGTGGAAAACAATAGGTAGAGCTGAGTGTCATCAGCATACTGCTGACTCCTCAGCCCAAACCTCCTGATGACCTCTCCCAGCGGTTTCATGTAGATGTTAAACAGCATGGGGGACAGTATTGAGCCCTGAGGAACCCCATGACATAAACGCCATGGGGCAGAGCAACTGTCCCCAGCACCACCCTCTGGACACGGTCAGCCAGGAAGGAGCAGAAACACCGTGAAGCAGTGCCCCCAACTCCCAACCCAGCCAGCCTATCCAGAAGGACACCATGGTTGATGGTGTCGAAAGCCGCTGAGAGGTCCAGGAGTATCAACAGGGTCACACT